AAGATAATAAAATAAATAAATAATACTTAACATAAATTCTTTAACTAAAAATTATAATTGATGTTCTATAGATTTTATTTTCCTTTGTTTTTTGTCTTTCGTCTTTTGTTTTCTTTCGTCACAATTTGCAAATTAGAAGAAGCGATATAATTTAAAACAGATCTTTTTTCGCATACTGAAATTTCGGTTACCGTTATGATAGAATATTAAAGACCATAGGTTTATATGATACAAATACATATATACTTATTATTTATTGACGACTTCACAGACATTTTACGGCACAGTGCACAGGGCATATGTTATACTGGACCTATGACACACACCTACAGTGTTCGAACCTATGACCTCTCACCTTCACGTCCACAGACCCCGACAAACACATGAGCTCCCCCAGCAGTCCAGAGAGCAGGGAGGACTTCCCGGACCCCACACGGCCCACCACCATGGTCAGACTGCCTTTGGCGACCTCCATTGACACACTGAAGACGAGAGGAACATAGGTGTCATTGACACACTGAAGACGAGAGGAGCATAATTTATGTGTCGTTGACACACTGAAAACAAAAGTACATATTGTCGCTTTTAAGCACAAGGTGGCTATCCCAAAAAATGCTGTTTTTGAGAAAATCGAAGGTTAAGTTTTTGCCCCTAGTTCAGTTTCTTTAAAAGACAAGGAGAGTAATATCCACACCAATGAAACCAAACTTCTCCTATAGATAGGGCAATGCCCACTTTTGCTGTAGGTCAAGATTTCTGGAAACCCCCGAAATCTGGGTTAGCTCGCTTGTGCGGAAAAGCGACCATATGTGTCATGGACACACTGAAAACAAGAGAAACGTACATGTCATTGACACACCGAAAATAAGGGGACTATATCAGTCATTGATTGACACACTGAAAGCAAGATGAGCACAACTATGTATCATTGAGAGACTGAAGACAACAGGAGCATAATAATATTTTTATGTGTCACTCACACTGTGAAAGTAAGATTAACACATTCTGTCACTGACACAGGGAAAACAAGTTTGACACATAATATAATTCTGCCATTGACACACTGAAAATAAGAGGGACACATTTGTCTTTTATATACTCCACACACGCACAAAACACATGAGCCCACTCAAACACACACACACACACACACACATACACACACACACACACACAC